CACTTACTTTTACATTAGAACCTTGCTGTAACAATATTGTTTTTAAAAACGATTCAAATCTTAGTTCACTACAACTAAATGACACAAAAAAAGTAGGAGTACCTAGTTGTCTTAACATAGCAAACAGATCTTTCTGAGTAGCTTGCCAGTAAGCTGGACTTCCACGACAGTTTTTCATAAAAGTATAACCAGCATCAGATTTGAGAATATTTTGTAGTGGTTCATCTTGAGTTAACATATCAGCTGTTATCATATTACCTCCCATTCTACCTTGTCTTAAAGCAATAGATGTACCTGATATTATTTGTTGTAATTCATAAATATATTGACCATAAAATAAATAATCTGAGCATGATGCAAAACGAGTGTCTACAGACATTAATCTAGTCTTTAAATATTTACCTAGTGTTATTCTTACATCTCTATTTTCAAAAAAAGTATTTTTACCTTTAGGAAACAAGTAAGGAAATGAACATGCTTCATTTGACTTATCCATTAAAAGTCTAACAGGTTGATTATTTTCACTTGGAGAAACAGAAAATATCTTATCAGAACTATTCAATACTTCAGCAGTGGCATCAACAGATTGTAAACATGTTCCACCGATTGAATCGCAGGTATATCTACCTATATTATCATCTATTAATGGTAAATCATCGTCGCTATCACTATTAGACTTATCATTAGATCCTACATTTACTGTTGTATCATAAGATTCTACATTTACAGATATATCATCTTCTATCATTTCATCTTGTTTATCTTGTTCTTCAACCCACCTGTCATTTAGAGTAACATCATGATAATAAACATTGTTATCTTTCAAGTAATTTAGTGCATTTTTTATGTGATTTTTTGTAACTGTTTGAAATTCATAATATCCTTTATTCGAAATTTTCTTTTTCAGTTTAATTCTTATCATTTCATCATCATTTTTACATCTTGGTAATACATTGCTCATTTCAGTCAAATTTGATGGCACAGAAACTATCTCACCTAATAATTTTTTATCATTTTGTGGACAAACTTTAACTAGTTTCAAGAATAGAATATTTTTACATACTAGGTGTTTCTCTAATTGATTTAAGCATTTCAATTCATTAGGTAATGGACCAGGATCCATGTCATTAACTACAGCCTCAGCTGGCATTTTTCCTTGCAGAATCTTTTTATTACATGTTAAACATATCCAAAGAGTTTTATAATTATCAGACAAACAACACTGTCCTAAACATTCATCATCACAAACATGATAGTAAGTTTTAGTTATACATTTCTTTGATAATCTTTCTACTATTTTACTTTTCTTTTCATAAAGTTCTTCTTGACACTCTTTAACTTGATTTTTAAACAATAATCTATTACAAACAGAACACACATAAATAGGACCTTCAGAACTGTCTATCTTAAATTGATTAATAACTGTATCAATACTACTCATTTTTCTTTTGGTAATTCGTCTTTTATTTCTCAGTTTGTTTACTTTGACTCTATAATTAGTATTCTGGTGATATTTATTACTAGATTTCTGTTTTTGTTTATTTCTATACTGTAAATTAGTTCTATACATATTTCTATATTTAGTCAAAATCTTAATTCTTAATTCATTCATATACCTTTGCTTCAGTTTTAACTTTATTTCATCTATATATTTACATTTTAATTCCCATTTTAAGACTTTTTGATATTTAACGTTTAGCTTTGGTTTTAAGATTGTTTGATATTTGTTCTTTAGCTTTGGTTTCAAGATTGTTTGATATTTGTCTTCAAGTTTTGGTTTATATTTGTCTTCAAGTTTTGGTTTCAATACATTTTGATATTTGTCTTCAAGTTTTGGTTTCAATACATTTTGATATTTGTCTTCAAGTTTTGGTTTCAATACATTTTGATATTTGTCTTCAAGTTTTGGTTTTAATACATTCTGATATTTGTCTTCAAGTTTTGGTTTCAATACATTCTGATATTTGTCTTCAAGTTTTGGTTTCAATACATTCTGATATTTGTCTTCAAGTTTTGGTTTCAATACATTTTGATATTTGTCTTCAAGTTTTGGTTTTAGTATTGTTTCATATTGAGTATGTAGTATAGACTTTAATTGATTTGTATATTTTCTTTTTAAATGAGCTTTAATATAACTAATCTGATATTGTTTTCTCCTCCTTTTATTCAAACTATTAGTTTCTTTTTTGGTTCTAAATGCAAGTTTAAAATTTAATCTGACTTTTTGTCCAGAATTTAGTTCCTTCTTTACTAAATTATAGTCTTGAAAATAAATGGTTCGCTTTTTATTAGGTTTCCATCTACTACCTCGTTTCTTTTTAAAATGTTTTCTTTTACCTGATAGTTGTGTATCTACATTATCATCAATAACTATAATAGGTTCACTTCTCTCAACATTTTCAACCACTTCATAATGATTCTCATCTCTATGGTGAAGATAAATAGCCTCAGGTGTATAACTATTGTTAATCTGTAATACAGGATATTTCAACCATTTATTATTAGTAAAAATATAAATATCTGTTTGTAATAAATCACAAGCTGCCAATATTTCAAATTCTGTACCCCATGTTCCTTGCATTCTCATTCTAGATCTTTTAATATAGTCACTAATAGATTTATACTGCTCTCTTAACAAAGGTGTGAATAAATCAGCTTTCGATTCTATATGATTCATTATAGCACGTCGTACTTTTCTATGACTTTTTTCAGATAAAGAAAGAACAAATGATATACTTCTGAACAAACAATTACCGTCTCCTTGTATTGAAGTTATTTCAGTAGGTTTCTTTAAGTTACAAACATCAGCCACATCAACATTCTTTAAGTTGTTAATTGGTAAATTTATCATTTTGCATAACTCTCTTCTTTTTTGTAATCTAAGTGGGGTAAATATAAATTCATTACATTCTACATTAGTTATAATTCTCTCATCACTCTCATTATCAATTAATTGACTGCCTGATTCAATTTGATCATCAACTTGCATAATTTCACAATCATCAACAGAGTTACTCACTTCCTTTGTGGCATCATTAACCATCCTAACATTAATACCAGTTATTTCAAATTGCTCTAACCTATTCAATTTCATTGAGACACTTAAGTTCAAACAATGCACATATAAATCATTAATATCATTATATTCTAATAGAATGCTGCAACCATCTTCTGATAATAACCCAGAATTGTTTCTTGAATGCGAGTCAAATACAAAATAACCATCATCATGTTTCATTATAGCAAAAGTACTTCTATTAAAAGTCACAAAACAAGACTCGTATGTTCTCAGACACGATTGAAAACTTTCGTACAAACCTTGAGCAACATTATTGTTAGCATCTATAATTCCAACTTCTGCATTATCACTTATTTCTAATTGAAAGAATTTACCTTCAACTTCAACAGTTCTTATTAATTCACTTACCATAATATAATTGTGTTGTATATTAGGTTGAGATTGAAGTAATCTATAATATTCATTTCCTAGGTATAGGATTTTGTCAAGTGTAGAACTAGTCCACAATCTTACGTTCATAATTTTCCTGTAAATAATGCACAAAAGACTATTACATACACACTGCTTTCCCGAAAAATATCCAAAACGCTCATCCCCTTGGTGAAAATTACCTATAGTACATTTCCTTTCAAGAATCTTTTCTTTTCTTGTGCCGTAACTCATGTTTAACTTGCATTTGTTTTTTTCGTCATCAAACAAAACATTTATTACCTCATTAGGTAGCTTTTCATTTGGAATTTCTATAGAATCAGAATACAACTTTGAAATAAACTCTTCCTCAGTTATATTTTGGTTATCTAAATCATAGGTAGTTACTTTCTTCTTACTAAAATTAGTGCTACGGGCTGCTTTAACTTTCTTTGGACGACCCATGTTGTTTTTCTGATTAATTAAATTTCAAAGTTTTAAACAAGTGTTTCAACAAGATAAATACCTTTACACCATGTACTGGATTTCTTTCTATCTCTGTTTTCTATTGGTGCGATTGAAGCTTGAAACTTGCAATTGTATTTTTTCAACTTTAAGGTGATAATATTTTAAGTTAGCAAATGATAGGTGCTTTTTCTTAGGCCAGCAAATAAAAGGTGCTTTAAATGTGGTTAGATTTCTCTAATTTGTTTAAATGCAGTTAGATTTCTCTAAGTGTGGCTAGTTTTCACTAGATGCGTTTTAGATTTTTCAATCTAATACTTTAAGTTAGCAAATGATAGGTGCTTTGTCTTAGGCCAGCAAATAAAAGGTGCTTTAAATGTGGTTAGATTTCTCTAATTTGTTTAAATGCAGTTAGATTTCTCTAAGTGTGGCTAGTTTTCACTAGATTAGATCGCTTCAGATAGGGGTGGATCAGTCCCCCTAAATATCTGTTTCTTCTTTTTCTTCTCAAACAACCTGCAAATAAAATCAACATTTTACATATGACTTTATAAGTCTGCAAATCAATTATCTAGCAAATGCCCAAATTTAAATGCACTATTTTCTCAACAGAAAGTTCTTGTTGTGAAATCATGGCCATCAAATTCCAACAAAACCTAATTTATCATATCTTTGCTGACTCAACCTTTCATCAAAATGGCATGGATTTCATCAGCAACCAAGATCTCAACAATACACACATACTATCCAAATCAAATCAAAAACTTATAGAATTCACAAGTTCATTTCAATGTATGTTGGTTAAGTCAAGGGGATACACTCATTGAAATAAAATAAAAATCAGATCAAAACTCAACAAATATTAATTTCCAAATTTTTGTAGCTTCATCTGTCCCTTAGTATCAAATGCTTGTAATGAAATTGTTATGTGAAAATTAGTTGAATATTGATATCATGCACATCAACTTCTTTTCTTCTCTCATTAATTTATATAATATATAATTTGAGCAAAGGCAAATCAAACTTGTAGAATCTTTTAGCTTCACAAGCAAATCTTATTTGTAATGATCCAGTACATCCCTTAATTACACATTTCTTTTATAAATGTATTTTCATTTTCATAATAAACAAGACATGTTCATTCCGGTTTCCTAATTATCAAAGACATGATAACCTTGAAAGACAAAAAACATTTCTAGCATATGTGATTTTTTTTTACAGTTTTAGTACTTCTGAAGACTATTTATATATATCAAACACCTGAAAATCCAGCTCTGTCCTCTTTAAGTTAATAAAAAAACAAAATGACGAATCGACTTGTAAGGAAGTAAAAAAATAAATAACACCATAACGTGCAAAGGGTAGGTAAAACGTCGATACAAAGAATAAATATAGCTTCACTATGGGACTGATAGTGTAGCTATATTTATTCTTTGTATCGACGTTTTACCAACCCTTTGCACGTTATGGTGTTATTTATTTTTTTACTCTTTAAGTTAATCAGTAATAGTGTTCAAAGCTTAACAAACATTAAAGTGGATCTTTACAGGGGATATAGGTCTGGGCAAAATAAATAATTATCAACACTATTAAATCTTTATTTAGATCATCAAATTTCACAATCAATAACTAAGACTAAAATATTAAAATTTCTATTTCTAGAAGTATTTTCTCAAAATGACATAAAATACAAGTTGTGAATATTTTAATCATTATTCTAACTTCATGTTGTACTGACAGTGACAGATAGTAATGCACAACTGTTGGGCTGGGTCTAATAATTGAAATAATCGTTTATCGACAATACAAATTATTTATTTCGATTATTGATTATCAAATTTCATAATCAATTAAAATTCATAGTCAGATTTCCTTGTAATGTTATCTGCTACACGCATATTAGGGAAGCCAAGACCCATTATATCACGATAATCATACAAAAATTACTTCAGATTCATTTGGCTTCTATACAAGATATTGATAAATTACAAACATTCAAGTACAAAAATTTACACCAACAGATGAAGATTAGATGATTTCCAATTAAAATATTTCGATTATTAATCAGTTATTGATCGGTAACCTGCCTTCCATAATCGATCTCAATCTGGTAAATGATACCCAGCCCTACACAACTGTAAAGACTATTTGGTGAATCTGGTTTTCATGTCCCCATTAGATATCAACAGCTAATAAACTTCATTTAACTTCTTTTATTTTAATTCATGTTAAACTTACCCTGAAAAAAATAACAATAGTTTAGTAACAGCGACATAAACTGATTTAAAGTTTGCAATACAAAACACGAAGTATATAGACCTTAGTCACGCATCGGCCATCTTGGATTCATATAGGCCCCTAACGACAACAAACAAAAGCAGTGTCTTGCCACTGCTGAAAAATCAACACCTTGAGGTCTTTAACGCCTCCTTCTTCAATTCAACTAGCTTGAAAGTACTCAAATTTTACATCGTTAAAATCGGAATTAATTACGCTATTTAAGAAGAATTTCAAATGAAGTGTGTTTCCACATATTTCTCAGAAAGGAGCCGAAAAAGGCAGTTTTAACCCATTTTCTCACTGTTCATAGGGTGATTAGTGACGTAATATTCCTTTTCATCCATTTGACGTCGTATTTTATGAATGGGTTGACGTCATTTGCGTTATAAACCTCGGTTTCTAAGAGGTAAAAACGAGGCATGAATAAGGTCTATAATATAATAAATGATTTAATATTCAACAATTCTTATGCCTATCAATATGGTCTCTGATAGGCTATTATTCATTTGTTTACTATTAATAGTATTAATTATGAGGCTTCTTCAAATCAAACTTCCATCAGATAATCAACAGTGAACATATATTTGAAATATTCATAATTTCAAAACAGCATAAATTTCTTAATCCTCATCAATGTAAATAATCACATTTATTGTTTTGTTTTCTGACAATCTTCTTTTTTAATAAATGTTTGATAAAATCTCCAACAGCAAACGGGAAAAGTACACATTATAAATCTCCAAAGAAGAACTACTCAAAGGGGGGTAATTCAAAACAAATTAATAAGCGAAATATTATCTAAAACGAGTATAAACCGGTTCAAACTTGAGTCCAAACAAAAAAACCTTAATAGGGTATGAATATTACTTACCAATTTAAACTGTACAATATAGTTGAAATGTCACAACCTGAAGAAAAAAAAAATTATTCCATGACCGATTTTACAAAAACCGCCAAAAACACACAGCAGAGTCAAATCGCCCCACAAACAAAGATGGTCGCATCGTCCTTAGGCCTACTGTAATATCAACAATATAAAACCATGTAAATTTAATACAATTTGCATTAAAATGTCATCTGTATTTAATCAAAAACTAACTAAATACTTTCCTTACGCCTAAAGAACAGGCCTACCCCCACCAACCTGGTTTTAAAAAAAAAACAAGGTCGAACGGGGCGTTTCAACTCGAATTCGCCATTTTGATTTTCAAGTAAAATAAAAATTTACCTTGGCAGACCTTAGCAAATAACCCAACCTTATATATATATTGATGTACAACGTTAATCAAGACCTACCTCTCAATCGTCCAAGAATATACTCTGGAGCAACGAAACACATCAAAATTCCGCACTACAAAACAAAATTTCCAAATTCCGTAGCAGTGCCCACTGTCTCTAAACCATTAAAACGTGTTTAGTCTCGATTAATACTCAAAACAAATTGCACCTATATCAAGACTGGACATAAAAAGCAAAATATCATCTTTTCCGTTTGGGAAATTTGTCAGCAAGACCTTAAGAACTGAACAAGTGGGTCTATTAATAGCCAACATTGAAACTTAGCACCGTATAATAATTACGAATAATATTACAACCTTTTATCACAACATTAACAAAATATAATGATACACGTCCGACATTTACGCGTACCTAAACTGGTAGCCAGTCAAAACACTAACAAATTTAAAGGGATATGTTCACTAACTATTCGACTAATCAAATTTTTGTCTCAGAACCTGGAATTTTTTAGCTATTCTAATCCATAATAATGA